TTCAATTTTTGCACTTTCTCTTTTTAGGTTCTATTACTAACATAATTCGGTTTACTTTTTTTTTTTTTTTTTTTTTTGTTTGTTTGTTTATCCATTTTCCCACTATCTTTTGGTCCACCATATCGCTATTTCGAAACCGTATTGTGGTGCTTCGACTTATTCCTGTTTTGGCACATACGCCCTGTCAAATTTTATACGATCGTGGGGTGAGTGCATGCATGTGTCCAACCGAGTTCTCGGGATACGATCATCGAGTATGGCACTATCGATCACAGGATTTTTGGGTATTGCACATTTTCACCTATGATATTCCTCTGGTGCTTATCATATGCGTACCATGTATATTAGTCACTAGGCGTTAATTTGATTGACTCCAGGCACTTAGTGCTTCGAATAAAAGGTCGTTGGGTGGCTTGGAGTTGGGTTGATTCTTTCAGCTGCTTGCTTCTTTGGTTTGTTCGATAGGTAAGATTTTTTTCTCTCTTTTTTTTTTTTCTTGCATTGTTATTCTTTGTTTTCATACTTTTGCTAGATTAACACTTATTCTGGCAAAGTTCAGAAAGAAGCACATGAACAACTTATACGACAGATAGGTAGGAGTTTTTTTTTTTTTTTTTTTTTTTTTTTTAATCGTGATATTTTTTTAACAATTTGGTATTAATTGGGGTCGCCAATACTTTCTTATCTATGGTGCGCAATTTATAAGCATTATTCGGAAGTTGGTCATGAATGTAGAACAGGCTATGCCACTTCAGCTCGAACTTGCTACTTTTGGATTGTTCCTTTGCGGTCTTATACAACAACACTTTTTCACCAATGTCAAACCCGGAGCTAATTTGTAGTGGGTATCATGATAGGCTTTCTGTCGGGCTTGGGTCTGTTGTATGTTTCATATAGCCTTACCTCTAAAGCATGGGAGGTGGTCAATCAATTTGTAGATTCTTTGTAGTATCGTTCCTTCCAAAAGTGAGTCAGCTCTGCTTGAGTATATCGGTTGACGGGCTTCTCGGCCATAAACTAGATAAAAAGGAGACATTTTGGTCGTAGAGTTCTTGGAGATACAGTATGCGAACAGTATAGAGAGGATCA